TGACCTCGGAAGCCCTGTGCCTTGGTACATCCACCTATCCAACATTATGCTTTAATATAAAAAATTATTTTCACCATTATCCTATTTGAAGCTAGGTAGAAGAGCTGGAAGAAGTGGATTCGCTCTGGTCAGGAGGGAACAAATTACTCATCTGTCTGTCTGCCAGGACATCCATCAACAGCCACCGCACTCCTAACACTTTCTGCCGGGAATATAGCAATTTATGGGGACAGAGTACTGTCCCACTGAGGTCCCGTAGCACAAGCCCTGCTGCCAGGGAACCTGGCTGGGAAGCTGCCGGCGATGTTGCTCTCCCACAGCAGCAGGCACTGCTGGTAGCGCACAGAGCTACTGTTCGCTTGCAGCTGCCCTCACTCTGTGCACGACATCTGGAGAGGGATGCTGCAGCAACAAATCCCCATCACAAGGCGACTCTGGGGAGTTTTCCCACTGGTTTCAACAGGATCAGAACTTGACACAGGAAAAAAAACAATACTAAACTATTGCCCTGACAGTGCAAGCTAGGACAGAAAGACTTCTACACAGAAGCAGCTGAGCTGCAGATTTCCTTCCGCCAACTGCTGCGGGGGCAACAGCCTCCTCCCGCAAAGGGATGGAGCAGCCTTGGGGGAAGGGGGCTGCAGCAGCGGTGGCCGTGTCCCAGGGCTCAGCTGCTCCTGCTTGAGCTTCTGTCCGGCGAAGGGCAGCAGGAGACTTTCAGCTCCGCACTTTTTGACCTCGTGACAGACATTTGGGAGCTGTGGCCCCAGGCCAGCAGTAACTGCACTTTCATCTTGCCCTGCCCAAGGGGACATTTCAAACCCACTCAACGGGAACCAAGCTCAAGGAGCCCGGCGGACCACAGGGAGCAGGCTCTGAACATCGGCATTATTTCCTAGGCCTGCCATCTCATTCGGGGACTTTAGATGTGCAGTTTGGGAAGGTACCACCACCCTTCTGCTCCTACGTGAGCTCTGGTTAGACAACTTATTAAGAAAATTAGGTAATGTCTGTTTTCCAAAGCAATAGAGGCTCTTAGACCTCTGTTTCTCACAAAAACAGAAAGCCCGGTGCCTCAGCTTTATATAAAACACATTTTAATTCTGCCTTCAAACCCCTCACACGCTTACTACACACAACAGAGGTGCACAGAAGGTGCAAAGAGCTCCCCCTGGGAAGCTCTCCCATCGACTGGAGTGGGGAGAGCTTGTGCCCTACGTATGGGACAGCACAGCTCATTCCCCTATTTTATAAACCTATTTACAAAATGAACTTAAAGGAACTTATAAGTGCTCCTTCTACCATTTAACTACCACATGGTACAAGATATAACAATGTTCAGAAAACCCCCTCAGGTCTAAACTCAATTATACAACTGTAGCAAGAAAAATATTTTAATCTGATCAAAGTGTTAACATGTTTGACCATGTCTGACCTCTAATGTTTGTAACCACCTAAAAGGCTGGTGTTCTTACTAAGGATGTACCTTAATTTGATTTAAAGTCATTTGTACTATTTAAAAAAGGATATAGTTTTATGATTTTATATTTCATTTAGAAAAACAGTTCCTCAACTTGTTAATATTCTTTGGAAGTTTCTTGCAGATTTTTAACCAGCAAATCCTACATATTCCACTCTGGGAAAAGCTGGACTTTGCAAGAGTTGGGAGAGTCAAAGCAGAGTCATGAACCACCACGCATGCGACACTTGAGAGCTGGGTGAGAAACGGTTCTCCTGGTGCCTTGCAAAATTTCGAGATTTCAGATGCACGCACAGTCTGCACTGAGATGCTCTTCTTAACACACTTGACTGAAAGCGTGCCCTCCCCAGCCCAGCCAGCTGACGGGGGTTCACAGCACGTTCCCAAAACACGGGACACACGAGCTCAGCCCGCTGCCTTGTCCCCAGCTCCAGGAGCACCTTCACCTGCGTGCCCTGGCCACCCCGCAGCCCTCCTTTCTCTCTCTGATAGCTCTATTGCCAGTCCAGGCTACTTGTGCGTGCTCAAACCAGCATCGCTCCAGCTGAATTACCCTAAACTGGTGTTTGCCACCTGCAAAGGTGGCCCACCGAGCCGAACGCCTGGGATCTGCCCACTGCAGGGTGGCTCTTGCCACATCCTGGTGCTCGCTGGGGACATCAGCTGGGGCTGGC